AAGAAGAAGAAGAACAAAATTATTCATCAAACCTAGGAATCCTCCAACAGCAGCTATGAGGCAGGAACCAAAGTTACTAACGGTCATTCAAAATCTGTGAAGTGTCCATTTTGCTAGAAATTGCATTCCATTTTTCATTGTCAATCATTCAAATCATTAAATCCAGCGGACGGACTAGCGCACATGAGAAAAAACGACACTTCTGTAATTGCTTAAGGGCCAATACTGTAATTCGTGCAGCACAGCGAAAAGTAAAACATGTAACAAAAATCATCACATTTTTTCGCATTATTCGTTCACAAATAATTCAACTTTTCTTAAAGTGACAAAAAATGTAATTGGAAGTGCAATAATCAATAAGGAAATACACTTACTGAAGTTGGACACTAACGTGTATAAATTGTTCAGCTCTGCAGACGGGTGTGCTAAAGTATTGAAGTTACTAGAAATTGTTAACTTAAGTAAAATAATATAAAATAAAATTTGATCTTAATGTACTAATACAATCATGGGGAGTGTGATATGTTATTAATTGTTATAATCCGTAATGTAAGGAAACCAACCGCCCTTCGTTAGGGAGGAGAGCTTCCTTTGTAGTTTCCGTCCATTCTCGAAAAGTGTCCTTCTTTTCGATATTTTTAAACTAATCTGTTCATATCTGAATTAAGAGATGCCGCGCCAAACTGTTACGCGTCTTGTTACGGTATCGGAAATACGCCATTAGTGTTGGTAGATCGGCGGAATTCTCGCCGTTTTCAGTAGTTTCAGCTTCAGTATTTCAGATTTTTTGACAAGTGAGTATTCAAGATTGAATGATGATACTCTAATGCACTTATCGTAAAATTCAATATGAAGAGATTTCTTTCTCCAAAATTTCTAATATATTGTTAGAAAATCACTAATTGACAAAAAATATTAATTCAATGGAAAAAGACCCGTTTTATTAAGTAAGTAAAAGGGATGTAAGCATAATTAGTGTATTTTTGTTTAAATTAATAAAATGTTTTATTTATTTGCGTTATACTTCTTTCTTAAAATTGTCGTCCTTTTCATAATAAAAAAAATGTCACCTTAGTAATGTAATACGTTGTATGTATTGATGAAATTGTGGTCGCTGATGAAGTTTATTGTTAAAACGCGACTTAAAATAAATTTCAAAAAATCATGGTTCGGAAAGATTAACAACCTCCTCGTCAAATAAGAGGATGTCACCAGAGGAAACAACTCGTCAAAACTATCAGCAACATCAACAGGTCATGGTGTGTCAAACACTAACATGGATCAAACCGTCAATGCTGACAACTGTTAGGTTGCTTGTTCTAGACCAAAATGATGAACTGGAGGTGTGCGCCTTGCTAGATAGTAGAAGTAATTGTAATTTGATAACGTAACAAACAGCTATCAAGATGAAGGTAGCTACAAAAAACACACAAGTTCCCTTTTCAAAACTATCACAATCAAAGGGAGCTTCAACGATAATTAACGCAAATATTAGGTCAAAGTTTTCGTCATGGTCTTCTAAAAATATAGAATCAACAATATTACAAATCATCTGCATTTTCAAAACATTAATATTTAGAGATGTCAATACCGCGAAACAATTTGATTTCTAACCGAAAGTTTCGCAAACCAAAGTAAATATACCTATTCGGAGGAGACATCACGGCACATTCATCCGTGGCAAGTGGACGCATCCCACGTAATCCGTAATGATCAATACACTGTTCATGGGAAGCTATTATCCTGAAGAAGAACAAAGGGAACCATTCATTTCCAATTTCATTAATTCACAACAAGTAAATGAACTAACACGGTTCTGGGAATGAGAACTGTCATCAGAGGTCATGCACTGTCCAGAAGAAGCTTTTTTGTCAAGAACATTTCAAAGCCACCACAAGCAGAGATGAAATGGGTAGATAAACCGTTTCCCTTCCAATAAAGCAAGCAGCTTCAGAATTAGATGGTTCGCAGAAACAAACATTACATCGACTCCAATCACTAGAAAATTTGAGCGCACTCCTCAATTCGCAGTATTCTTTAAAGACTGACCAAATACCATGAGGTTGGTTACGTACAGCCAGCTCCCCCAATCAACACAAATGAACAGACCACGGAGTAGTAAGTAAACAATCCAGTAGTACAAAATAACGAAATGTGTTCGATGCCTCAGCAAAAACTTCTAACAAGGTTAGCCTCAATGACATCTTAGCGGGAGGACTGGTGGTACGACCAGATGTACTGAGCATCCTTCTGATCTTTCGAATGTGGCCGGTTGGATATTCGCAGATATTTTCCAGATGTATTGTCAAATTAAAATCAATCCATCTGATTGAAACATTCTGAGAATATTTTGGAGGTTTAATCATCAATCTGGAATCCAAAAAAATTGATTAACCACGGTGACGTATCTGTCAAATAAAGTAACTAGTGAGCTCAGTCAATTAGCAGATGAATCAGTTGAAAATCTAATTCACAAAGCGATCCGAATTTCTACTTGGACCACATACCTACTAACCTGAGGAAGCAATCTTACCAATATCAAGTATTAAATGAACTTCTAATGGCACAAACGTTCGCAAAGTTCGGGTTTGCTAATGGTAGAACCGAAATATTACTTCAAGAAACTTTTAAAAGAGTAAAATCCTGTCATGTAAGCAAATTTTTTTAAAAAGTTTGAACTGTTGAAATAGCGAATTGAGTCGAAGAAAATGGCGTTTAAACTTTAGTGAAAATACAAAATTTGAAGCTTTATTTGATAGAAAATTGTTGGGTTTTCGAAGAACTTTTTTGAAGTAATTTAAAACACTTCCAATCACAAATGCAATAATGTTTACAAATCGCTGGAAATGTGCTTGTTAACGACAGACAAAGGTGCAATTTTTGAAAAAGGATTGCAAAATAATACAGCAATTGTAATAGTCATCTTAAACAGTGCAATTAGCACTATCCGTACAAAAAGATTGAAGAAAAAGTTTAGTATCGTCTTTGACACAATGGCGTTTGAGAATGTCTGAAAATGCGGAATTTTGAGTTAAGTTTCGCAAGGAATTGATGAGGTTTAATTTAAAGCATATGCGCTCATAAAAGCAATAATGTAAACAAATTGCCTCTTGTTAAAATATTAACGATGTGAGAGACAAGTCACAAAATTACGTTTTTGTACTTTTTGAGAAAAACCAAAAGAATAGAGCAAGGAGTGTTTCATTCTGAAAATTCGTCGTTTTTTCGCACAGCCTTACATAACTTTCAATGTACTGCGTAAACAATAGCGATAAAGCAAAAATAATGGTTTTCCCTCGCCAATATGACTCTCAAATTCTCAATAGTTGGTGGATATCATCCGAGACGAAAACAAATAAATCCAAACATGAACAATTCTCTCCGAAGGAAGTGTAAGTACATTACACTGAATTACATTGAAGTGAATCATCGCTTGCGACAAGATTTCATTTAGTTGCAACAACCAACAATTCCCAAAGTCGCAGCAGTTCACCCATCGAATGGTTCTCTCTTATATTGCAAATTGCTCTTGCCGCACCAATAGTGAACAAAACAAAAATGTTGTTGCAAACAATGTGGAAGACGCATATTGACTGAGATGATACACTACCACCAGAACTACACATGGAATGAGAATTCATTTTCATGTCTTGCCAAAATAATCTACTTGCAGCACTAAGACATGTACATAAGATTGAAGATACTACAAACATTTAAAAGTCGGATTTGCATACGCCAGCCTATCAGCATACGGAGCTTATTCATTCGCACAAGCCAGCGCGCAGCGGCGGTCAGTCAATGGAATGAAGGGAATGAGACATTTTGTAAAACTCTATTCCATAAGTCTTATGCTACTAACTGGCGGCAATTTATAAAAATATTGCCGATAATTTATGCTTTTGGGGTACATTGCAAAACTAGTTGTTCCCGCTCTTGCCATGCGTGGGGAATGATAATTTGAAAACGTTCTCTTTGAAAAGTATTTTTTTCCAGAATAATAGCGAAATTCAGCCATTGTGTCAAACATTTTGGTATATTTGTTAAAAAAGAAAGTTCTTGAAAAGAAGTTGGCGAAACAGATGCAAACAAACTGTGGAAGAATTTTATAATCTAATGATCAATGAATTTGGAAATAAAAACAGCAGGATATATTTACACTTTAAAAATCTTGTCACTTGATGCATCCGCAGGCTCGCATCAATCCATTCATGATTCCGTCACAATTGCAAGAAGCGGAAACAATTATTATCTACAAAATAGTTGAAAATCAAATCGTATACAAATACGAAGCGGCAGCACTACGAGTCAACAAGCCCATCCGTCATGAAAACAAACTCAAATCAGTAACTTCAAAATTACATCCTGGCGGAGTATTAAGTGTAGGAGGAACACTAGACAAAACCAATTCAACACAAAGCGTCAAATCATTCTCCCATCAGCTCACCGACTAGCAAAATTATTAATTCGGCTAGCGCATTTGCAACTTCTTCATGTGGGAACGCAATTAATCACGTCACAAATACGTCAAAACGTTTGGATTTCATCTCTTAGACACACCGAGAAGAGTGCCATCGGATCATACTTATCATGATTTAGACTACACAAGAATCGCAACAATTAAAGGATCCTACAGTAACTGTGTCACCAGCATTTTCGTACTATCGAATAGACTTGCAGGGCGTTTGTTACCAAATTGGGAACTCCTAGATCGAAAAAATTAAGAAACGCTACTAGATTGTAGCTTTTATTTGTATCAAAAGAATTAAATGATTTACTGCAGTTTCTACAGCAGAAATACTATGAAAATTGATTGTTTAAATACTATGTACCTTTTTCAACGCATTCGCCCATTTCAAAATTGTTCTTACCTTTACAAAGTGTCGACAGGTGTCTGCGGCACTGCAAAACAGAAATGCGCCAGTATCCGGGAAGTGAACGTTTTTAAAGGACAATCGAAAATTCCAAAAAATGAACTTTTGCAGGAAACCTTCCCACCAATTATATATGAACCACGTTTTATTCAAGAATGCGCGATATTAAAATGCACTTGTGAATGTGCGTCATTAAACAGGTCGCTTCCGTTTCCGTGCCAGTCTTGTGAAATCAACGTAGTGTGTGTTAACAAAGGTGCTAACTTAATTTTGCATTTCACTTAGGTACGTAATAATGAAACCAGAATATTGCTTCAATTATTTCTCTCATTTTTCAAAGAAATTGAAGTGACCTGTTACTCGTCAGTTTTGTCAATGAGTAATTATACTAGGGTTCGGGCACAAGTCATGGCAACAGTTTTTTGGAGAGAATACGAGAACGAGTGAAAATGTGAAACATACACATGAAAGAACCAAGTACGAACTAAGTGATATTTAACGACTCACCGACATTGGATTTTTCATATTTATTAAGGTATTTGAAATGACCCTACTGATTTATCTTACAAAGCATTACAACATGTATAAGTTTACAACATTCCAGAAGCGTTATATATCCGTTCTAAAGGCTCGATTAGGTAATGCTCGTTTACCGCGCAGGTCGTCAAAATGTGTCGCTGATCACTGGTTGCTACGCGCCCTCGCAGGAACTCTCCTGCGCAACTCGTCACTCTCCGATAGGGAAAGCCATTGTTTTTAACATCTTTTACTAATTCTGTGACATTTTTGCGGAATTTATCGCCAGGAGAACGACTATCTTGGATTATGAGTGCAGCTCGAAACGGGTTACATTCATTTCGCAAGGCGGTTGTCAGAAAATTGATTTCAAATTGCTATCTGCGCTAATAGAGGCACTCACATAGCTGTGTTGTGAACACACATTAGAACAACTTTTATTTCACTTGACAAATTAAATTATGTGATCCGATAACATTAAAGAAATAGTTTCAATGAGTTCTGCCCGAAACCATTACATCATGCACATGTTTTCATATGGTAGCATAACACGGAAGTTTAAATTTGAATTGCAAAGGAAAAATCAAGAAAAGAAGACCAGAGGATTCACATGTTAATGGTGGGATATTTTACTTATGTTTAATGGAATATTTGGATGTACCTTAAAAACGAGAGACTTCCGTTTGATAAATTTCTGTAGGACAATGCAATACTTGCAGGCAGTTCAGAGAGGTGAGAACCTAGGAAATTCAGCAGAGTACGTTAATGTGCTCCGGTGAACTGAATTCATTTTCTATACAAACGTGAGTGACAATTGCTTTAGAGCGTGTACGTAGGATGATAAAAATATAGGAATTATAAGAGAAAGTTTAAACAATTATCCAGAAATCTATCTGTGACTTCTGATACCATCAATGTGTTTTGTTTTTATGTTTCTGAGAGCGCTATATAATTAAAAAACCTGTCGTGCCACAACAGCAGGTACGTTCCCGCAATTTCGCTAAGGGCTGTGTAATATCACATGGCAATTTCTCTCATAATCTTCAATTCCCATTTGAAAAATTCTTAACCAAACGAAGCGTGAAAAATACATATAATTTTTAAATTCAAACGTTTAAACGAAAACAGCTTTCTGTCATTGAATTCAGTGTATTCACTACATAAACGTACCAAAGATACGCGATGCGTATTTTATCCGTAAATTGAACTATTAGTACTAACGTGAGCGAACTGCGGCTGTCATTATCACCTGTTACCAGTGAGGCGTTACAAAAACGTATTACAACAGGCAACAATGTCTGCCAATTTGTATGGGATACATTTTATAAATTAGCATAGTTGAAACCCATTGCAAGAAAACGAGAATGGACACAAAAATATCATAAGTAAATATAATATTGCTATATTCATTGAACATTTATATGCGCATTTTTTTCATTCCCACATCTTATTTTGCAAAGTAAAATCAACTAGTCATTTTTTCACATTGAACTCAATTAAAGGCCGCAATTTAAAATAGGTTTTAAATAAATTTTAAAATATTAATTTGCAAACGTATAACAAAAGCTCAAATGTAAGAAATGAATAAATAAATATCAAATAGTATACAAATTCTAAATTACGAAGCATTATGCTGGAATTATCGCAATTACATACACGAAACGCAGTCAACTGGGAGCGGGATTTTGTTTGTCACGAAATTGCACAAAATATACTCAAAAAATTTATATTTTCAAAAAATTAACTTGACCTTATTTGAAGGATTGATTTTAGTGAACACATTTATCTAAAAAAAATTGTATCTTCAGAATTGTAGTTATAAGAAGACGCCTAACAAATTTTGAATTTTTTCAATTTTTTGGAAAATTAAGGTTTATCAAATGCGACCTGTACCATTTTCTTAAGCGTCTTTCAGATTCTTCAAAAAATAATCAAAAGCGATGGAACCGTTTTTTAAAATTGTTAAACAAAATTAAAAATGAACTATATTTTACTAAATATACTCAAATTTTCGAAAAACTGGAAATATCTTTAACGAACAGATTTCATTAAGAAAAATATTTCAGTTGTACGAACACATCGAAAAATGTTTAAAATTTTTAGCCGGAAACACCTAACGCAGACGAAATAGAATCGAAGTCGTAGAAGTGCGACACATTCTAATGTTGTTTTTCAGTAATTCATCACACTTCTTAGAAAGTAACTTGAAATGTCATCACATCAGGAATACTTCATTACCAGGTATGTAACAAATGAGAAGATGTGGTATCAAAATAGATCACATCACTCCGAGGGGTTTAAGAAACTTATTATGCTACATCATGGCATATATGTCCTGCTGTGAAAATTAACATGCAATGATAACATTGGTCAACACATATATTAGTGTCTCATATATTAAACTTTTTTTTAGATATTTCGATGTCACTGCTTCTAAAAAAATGCAACTCTAGTTTTGTAAATATAGAATTATCATCATATGCCCCACTTCCACACTGTGTGTGCTGAAATGTGAGAGCATCAATGGCTATTGGCATAAAACATTTCTTTTAATGATGTTAAATTGTTGTAAAATAAAATAAATTTGCTTTAAAAATGAAGTGCATTAAGTAGATAATACATTAATATTATAACTAAATCACATCATTTTTCATCAAAATGATTTAAAAATTTATAAAATCAACCATTCGTTCAATAGCTCATTTAAAAAAATAGATTGTCTGGAGTGAGAAATGCCATTGCAGTCTCGCTTCCAATAGTAGTCTACCTTTATGTGTGTATCCCATTTCCTTGGAGTCCATGCATCTTGGTGTTCAAATATTTCAATCAAGGAGCTTGGTTCGGATCAGCCGGTTTTGAAAATTTAAACAACTACGAAAACAGCAAAAAAAGTTTCGTCGATGTTTCATTTTGCCATCATGTCATTCGACATACAAGGGACTACGTCAGTGTGAGGAAAAATTCTACTATTTTATTTTCCTTGTATCTTATATAGCAAGGAGGAAAATGTGTGGATGAAGACCGATTATAATTACAACCATTTGAGTGAGAAACTTAAAAAACTTCAAGAGACACATCTCCATAAAACAGTAATGTTAAACTGGCTTTACATGAATACTGTGATTTGGCATAGCGACAGTTATCGTCTCGCTATAAAACGTCGATGAAAAGCATAAGAACAGACATATTCTGAACGCTTATAAACTGTGTCAAATTTTGTGGTGCGCCAGCTAAGCTTGCGTTGTGACGGTATGGATGTGAGTAAACGGAAAATCCTGGGATATTCGAGCGTTAGTGGATATTGGTAGTACCAATGAGGTGTTTTTAAAAATCTACGTCAAATTCAGTAGAGAACACTGTTTACAAGGAATGTACAAGACGAGCAAATTTAGAAATCCAACATGAGCTGTACCAGTATTTCAAGTAATGCTGCAAAATGAAATGCCGGAAGAAATTTTTCCAACAGCCTGCAAAGCCATTATTTTATTCTCACTATGCCAATGACTTTTTCAGAAGCTGAACGATCATTTTGAACAATGAAGTGGATAAAAAACATTTCTTAGAAATATAATGAGAACCTAGCGATCGTGCGCCCTCGCATTCCTGTCAAATACTAGTAAAGAAGCAAGTTACGAGTTCGTATTCATGAAACCAGTAACTTAAATGAATTAGCGATGGAGAAATTTGTTCATCTGAAAAATCAGCGATTGGAGTTTCAATTCAAATAAAGAAGGTAAGATTACAATTTCTTCATTTCTGGATAGATTGATAAAACTGATAATGGGTGTTTCTTGGTGAATGTTGCCTAATTAAACTATTGTAACATGGAGGCTATGTTCAGAAGGGTCAATTTCAAATGTAACATAAAACCATAAATAACAAATTAAAGCATTATTTTTTAAGACTGGTTATTCATAATATAAATGTTAATTTTGTTCACAAATTCTCGGATCAGGTCGCAACAGTCAGTAGCGTATTGACATCGTGCACCTTCACCATGCAAAACATATCAGCCGTTGCGTATATTGAAAGGAATGTGATATGCCGAATGCGTGGGCTGACCTTTCGATGGCAACGGATATGACGCTGACCTCAGCCCCTATTTCGGAGCCGAAGCGCGTCTTGCGCTCATGGTGTATACGTAGGTGCCGCATTCAAGAAATGTAATCAGTTTCTTGGAATTTTTCTATCCTTCGTTCTTAGTGGGTTTCAGTTTTCACACTTATTTATAATTATTCGATAGGAATCCAGATATTTTAAAATATGTTTGAATTTAAGGTGAAATGTTCTTAAACTACTTTAATAATTGTGCTTATTAATCAATAGAGAAACTTTGGAGAGGGAGACCACCCTTATGACCATTGCCTTTGCAACACCCTTAATTTTAACATCCTAAAATGTATTTCTAAATACATGAATTGAACACTAAAAAATACGTGAAAGAAGTAGTGCACATTACTAGAATGGCGCGGGGAATTCAAATTTGTCGGCTTGTAATAAATTAGACTCTACAGGCGTGTGCAAAATATTAGAATAATTGAAAAAACTAACAGCAAAACTTTCGAAATATAG